GTGACGCATCTGCCGTCAACATGCAATACCCTTCCGGGCCCGCATCCTCCTGAGTTAAAGCCTGAGGCTAAACTTCCTCTTCCAAAACCTAAACCTAAAACTCCTCTTCCAAAACCTAAACCTAAAACTCCTCTTCCAAAACCTGAGCCTGAACCTCCTGTTCCAAGACTGGAGCCTGAACCTCCTGCTCGAAAACCTGAGCCTGAACCTCTTATTCCAAAGTTTGGACCTGAAGGCGTATCCAGGTGATAACCTTGGGGAGCCGCTGATGACGAGACCACGACCGTAGCGACTATTACCTGTGATAGGAGAATTAAAAACATGTATCATGGTTCGCGTCTTCAATTACAAATCCATTTAGAGAAAGAACAAATCTTAAAAAAAAAAAATATATATATATATATATATATATATATATATATATATATATATATATGTCGATTAATTCCATATATATCAGATAAGCTATTCTTACCAACAACTTCATGGTGAAATACTGTCTTCGTCATCCGAGTGAAGGTTTATATATCCATGCAAATTACTTTCGCTTACGCATTCTCATATTCTGCCAGAACTTGCTCCTTTAACCGCTCTGCCCCGCTCGAATTGCCGATTTCCCCTCCGCGGATCAAATTCTTCCTTTGATTACCACTCGTTGAGCCTGTACTTTTATTTTAGATGGAAAGTCGATCACCATATTCAGATCAATACGGATTTACAAATTACGTTATGTATGCACGGAACAAATATATGGAAGAGTTCATTTGTATACATTTTTCATACATCTAAATAAATATATGTATATGTATATATATACATACATTTACCACAAATAAAACATATATGTGTATATATATAAATATTTATATTTATATCTATATCTAATTATATAATATATCTCTATATATTTATATATGTATATGTATGCATATATGTGTGTGTGTATATATATCAAGGATAGCACTGCCAAATAACCTCTCAATATTGAATTGAGAGAGGCCTATGTCTTGCAATGGAATAAATGGCTGTTAGAGAGAAAGAGAGAGGGAGAATAAAAGAAGAAAATAATATATATATATATATATATATATATATATATATATATATATATACACATATATATACATGCATACATATATATTTTACACACACACACACACACACACACACACACACACACATATATATATATATATATATATATATATATATATATATATATATATATATATATACATAACATACACACACATGTGTATACTTATTTATTTGCCCATATATATATATATATATATATATATATATATATATATATATATATATATATATACATATATGCACACACGCATATGTGTATTTACTTATTCATTCATATATGTATATATGTACACATATATGTATATATATGTATATATATATAATACACATATACATATACACATGTGGGCATTTATTTATCTATTCATATATATATATATATATGTATGTGTGTGTGTGTGTGCGTGTGTGTGCATATATGTGTAAATATTCACACACACATATATGTGTATATATATGTATATGAATACATACACACACATATGTGTGTGTCTGTGTTTGTACATAAATGACTATTTTCATATGTTTGTATGAATAATATATACACATATACTGTAGATTTATATGAATGCACACACATACACATACATACGCACATACACATATAATATATATATATATATATATATATATATATATATATATATATATATATATATATATATATATATATAAGGAAAGAGTGTGTGATGTGAGAGGGGATATGGTGTCAGAATAATTGTGAAATGGAGCAACAGTAGTGTGTGTATGTATGAAGTGTAATGCAAATGAGCCGAAGGGAGGTAGGCGTGGTTAGAATCCTGAAAATAGGCGTGTGCAGATACTTCATCTGTTCTATAAGTTTGTTTTTTCCCCTTTTAAACTTTTAAGTTGTGGACTTTAAAAAATATACATATATTTTAAAGGTGTATATTTCTTTTGTAGAAGCAAAGATAAAACAACACAAGCCGAAACACGAACAGGGTAAAAATAAAAGCTAAAACACAAAAAATCGTTTCGTTTAATATTTGCGAATAAAAAATCATATACTCATTACAATATTGTTACTATAATTATTAAATTTCTGTTCATAAAATGAATAAATGAATAAGTGTATATCGTATTATCAAACAAGTTCATAAATTGTTTAGTGTAAAAATGTAAAATGTAATTTGTTAAGAATAAAATTCAGATAAAATGGTAAGACATAAAAAATAATAGTAAAGATTAAAAATTCCTTTACAAATTAATTTTCTTTTTGGTAGTCTACTATTTTTCCGGCAAAAGTTCGTCTAAACCAGCGCTAAAAAAGGTGTATTAGAATAAACTAAAACAAAGCTAAAACAAATAATAAAAAAACGTAATGAAACCGCGCAGGTGAGACGTTCCAGGCGTGCTCCCCGTTTTCTTTAATTCAAACATTCCTCACGGTAATGGTCTTTCTCATCCCCGGGCACATCATTTTTGTTTTAAGGAAATTATATAAATTTAGTGAAAACAATGTACTTGGAAATTTTATTCGACTTTAGGTTATTCATCAAGGAAAATGAGCAAGAAGTATTGACCAGGTCACTTTAACGTATCTAATTATAAATAAACTATGGCACTCTACAGTGTCTAATAAGGTTAAACAAGACAATAATAATAAAAAAAAAATCTTTTATTATAGAAATATATATATATATAACATTTTAAAAGAACAGAAAGAATTTTTTTTTTCGAAATAAAAGAGTTAAGGCAAGGAATAAAGGCTTGGAGGAGCGGAAACACCGCTGAAGACAAACTGTCCGCTGTCGCCACCGCTCAAGAGACCGCCGTTGATAGCACTGCTTCCGAATCCACTGCTTCCTCCACCTCCTACGAAGCCACCATTTGTTCCACTTCCTCCAAATCCGCCGATTCCTCCACTTCCTCCGAATCCACCGATTCCTCCACTTCCTCCGAATCCACCGATGCCTCCACTTCCTCCAAATCCACTTATTCCTCCACTTCCTCCGAATCCACTGATTCCTCCACTTCCGAATCCACCGCTTACTCCACCTCCTCCGAATCCACCGATTCCTCCACTTCCTCCGAATCCACTGATTCCTCCACTTCCTCCCAATCCACCGATTCCTCCACTGCCTCCGAAACCTCCCACAACGCCTCCGGCACCGCCTCCTACCACTTGACCACCACCTTGGGAAGCTGCGTTCAGGGCAGTCTGGAGATCAACGCCGCTAGGAAGAACCGGGTTCTCGCCCTCACCGTAGTTCACGAAGTAAACATCAGGTTCGCTTGCTGGGGGAGCTGGGAGTTCGATCACTTCCTGTTGCTGTGGCGACTCTTTGTTAAGGACGTACACAACGTGTTCTTGTCTAGGAGGAGGTATAACAATAGGATCTGGTCCTTGTCCTTGTTCTGGTGCTCGGATGAACAACATGTTTGTTTCAACGGTTGGCTCTGGAATGTATGGTGGGGGACCATGGGACACTGGTACGGGTGGCGCATCATACAAGTAAACTTTGCGGTTGATGCGTGGAGTGACGCATCTGCCGTCAACATGCAGCACCCTTCCGGGCCCGCATCCTCCTGAGCTAAAACCTGAGGATAACCCTTCTCTTCCAAACCCTACCCCTGAAATTCCTCTTCCAAATACTGAGCCTACTCCAAAATCTCCTGTTCCAGGACCGGAGCCTGAACCTCCTGCTCTCAAAGCTGAACCTGAACCTCCTGTTCCAAAACCTGAGCCTGAACCTCTTAATCCAAAGCTTGGTCCTGAAGGTGTATCTAGGTGATAGCCTTGGGGAGCCGCTGATGACGAGACCACGACCGTGGCGACTATTACCTGCGATAAAAGAATCAAGAACATATATACCATACTTTGCCTGCTCATATATACATCCATTCCGAGATAAGAACAAATCTTACTTCAAAAATATAAATGTCGATAAATTCCTTGTATATCAGCTAAGCCATTCTTACCAGCAACTTCATGGTGAAATACTGTCTTCGTCATCCGAGTCACGG